TAAACATATTTCATCCAGTTTTTCTCAGTCTTACCCCCACCCCAATGCCAGCCTCATTCTACAACAGTGGCACCATATAGCATTTGTCCCTTTACGGTAAAGCTCTGAGAATTTAAATGACTTGTCTACAGTCAGGAAATGAGCTAGTAAGCTGGCACTCCTAGAGGTCGGCTCTGAGTTAAATATAGGAAAATCTTTACGCAACATCACCAAGCATTTAGTTGAGAGGTAAAGGCAGAGAGAACACAGCATCTTATTCTTAAGAAATAAAGAATCTATTTAAAGAGGTGTTCAGATAAGTACCAGATAATAAATCATGTAGACAGTTTGTATGCATATAAATGCATATCAAGTTTGGGAATGATCAGAGTGGTTTTGACAGAGCTAATTTTAAACCAGATATATATACATAGATTAATATGAAGACAATAGTATTTCTATATATTAGAATGTCTCGGAATATGTTTTTGTCCTCTGTATAATCACTATTAATTAATAAACTTTTTGTCAATAAAACAACCATTTCTTCTGAGTTTATTGATGAGCTTAGAAATCAAAGATGGGGATTTTTATCACATAGATTAATTTTAGCTAATCTCTCTCTCTTCCCAAGATTTCTGGCGAGGCATTCCAGAAAACTTTAGTCAGCATCCTCCTCTCATTATCTTATTCCCAGCTCTAAGACTGGTGCCAAGAGTTCTATTTGAATGACCTCTTCTTATAATGAATGCTAAATTGCCAACAATTTGGAAAGTTTTACTCATTCAACCTTCCACAATTGCAGAAAATCAGTAGAGAATTCTACTCACTATGAGACTTTGAATTTGCTGACTTTCTAAATGAATATTCTCTACCCCATTTTTTAGTACAATGGCTGATTTTCCCAGTCTTAACTTGATGCCTTCTAATGTCTGGTTATATTAATATGATTTTATCCTATAATTTACTAAAGCCATTTGGCATATCACTGCATGAAGTGTTTTAAAATTTCATATTTTAAAATACAAGCATTGTCTTAGTAAATACGGAATTTTGTTACTCTCAGACAATATTTGCAAATGATTTATCTATTAATTACAAAATGCTACAAATATATGTCTAACATGATTAACAGAAAAGAAAATGTGTGCAACTTCAGTTTGCACTTATGATTGTTTCTTACATTTAATTCAAGCTTATAAACTGGGGCGAGACACATAATGTGCTGAAAGCACAGACTGTCAAACCATCTTCACGTGACCATATTCCAATGGTAAGTGCTCTTATGCTGCTTTTGGTAACTTATTTTATTTTAGCTGCATAACCACCCTAAAAATAGACAGAAAATTTGCAATCTGTATTCCTCTGAATACCCAGTCAAAATCAAAGGCACAGCTTTTAACAGGAACTGATAAATATATCTCTGAAAAGTAGAAAGCACTTACAGGAACGAGGAATTTTTTAATCTCTTCTAATGCGTGACTCATACGTGAATAAGCTTCCCCAGGTGGAGCAAACACTTCAATTAATACATGAAGTTCATCACTCAAGTGGGCATATTTGGCTTCCCCACTCTTCCTTAGTTCTTCTTCCTGTGAAAGAGGTTATTTTTAGAAATACAAATCCACTCATTTTGCACTGATTTAGCTTCAACTAAGGATATGACAAAAAAAAGGACATAATCTAAGAAGATGTTCCTTATGTAGAAGCCTTTTGAGAAATAAAAGTCTGGTACCAACCGTTTAAAGATTTTTAAAATCATTTCAGAGCTTTTGATTTATAAAAAAAAACCCGCAAAAACATTATCGACCTCCAAAAAATCTTATGTAACTATCAACAATAAGTAGTTAGTAAAATTAAAATGCTAACCTCTTGGGAAAAAAACCTTAGAGAAATTTCATTGATGCCTAGAGTACACTACTACATTCTAAGAAGGAAAATGGGGGAAAAAATTATCAGTTTCTTTTGGTTCCTGATTAGTGGTCTGAAGATGATACATCAATGATTATCATTGTTGTTAAGCAAACCAAGACTTCTGTGATACTTTTTGAGACTCTGTGAAAGGTCACTTACCGCTAAAAACAAAGCTAAATACTTTAAATCAAGAATTATCTTCCCCATCTTTGTTCCCACTGACTGAAATTGCTGAGCCTCATACCATGCATTGCTTCCTCCTTTTAAACAACAAGGAGCCCTGGTACTCTTGTGGATAGAGAAATGCACCATTGACCTAAATTTAGCTCTTTGCAGCTGGTTCAAATATACTAGCAACTCAGGAGAATTAAGTGTAGTATCTACGTTCTTCTGTGATTTACAGCCTCTGAAAACCTGGAGGAGGGGCTGCTCTAAGTCGGTTCCAATCAGTGGCAATTAATATGAATTTTTTAAGTGTTTTGGTCAATTTGAGTATATTACCAGGGATATGTTATTGTTATGTGCCATCAAATCAGAATAATTTGTACCTGACCCTCCAGTGAGTTTTCAGAGGCTGTAAATTGCAAAGGAAGACACTGCCTATCTGTTTACCAAAGAGCAGGTGATGAATTCAAACTGCCTGCCTTTGGGTTGGCAGTCCAGTTCCTTACACACTACGCCACCAGAGCTCCCTACAAAAAGGTAGTGCATGGCCTATATATCTTCTGCTTAGCCAACAAGACATTTATATTGGATTAAATTGTCACCCCCCCATAATGTTTTATCCATGTTATTACTGATGCCTGATTAATTCAGCAAAGGTGATAGAGATTTCATTTATACATTAACACTTTTACATATTATTATTCATTGTTATATATTATCAAATCAGAACCAACTCATAATTGACCATCCAATGAGTTTTCAGAGGCATTTTATATACATCAGTTCCAATCTAACAGCAGTATTATTCATATTTTTTTAGAAAAGATTAAAGAGTTTAAGTCACTTCACTGGTCCTGGATTCATTCCCAGCCCATTCTAATTCTAAAGCTCTACTCAGTTGTGAAGATTCACATTTTATAGAATCACAGGTAAGTGAAATTTAGTTAAAAAGGTAACACAGGTGGTATGACTTATGTTTTATCTTTCTTCATGCTGCCTCCTTCCCAAATAAATCAGTAATTCTTTCACTAAAATCCAAAGGAGAAAATGAACAAATAAATATTTCCCAGTTTAATGTGGGTATTAAGTGGAGAGATAACATAACAGTATATGAACTGTATGTAAAAAAAATCCAAAATAAATATTAGAAGAGTATGAAAACTGCATTTGAGCACCTAGAAGCCAAAACAAAGGGAAAATATGCTGAAGTAAAAGAGCTGAACAGAAAGAAGATTTTGAAGGACAGCTTGAAAGGAGAAAATATTTATAATGGAATGTGCAGATAACTGCAATTGGAGAATAAACAGGGAAGAACTCACTCTGCATTTCTCAAACTGAGTGAACTGAAAAACAAATTTAAGCCTCTAGTTGCAATGCTGAAAGATGCTATAGGCAATATATTGAATGATCCTGGAAGGATCAAAAGAAAATGGAGGGAACACACAGAATCACAGTACCAAAAAAAAAAAGTGACATTGAAAAATATCAGGAACTGCCATATTAACAGGAGTAATAATGTAATGAAGGAGGAAATGGAAGGTGCATGGAAGTCATTGGCAAAAATAAGGGCCCAAGAACTGATAGGATACCAATCGGCTTGTTTAAATTAACAGATGCAGCCTTGGATGCACTCGCTCGTTTATGTCAGAAAATTTGGAGGACAGCTGTTTGGCCAATGGATTGTAACAGCTCCATACTTGTTACCATTTTCAAGAAAAGTGAACCAACTGAATGTGGAAGCTATTGAACAGTATCATTAATATCACATACAAGCAAAATACTGCTGAAGATCATTCAAAAACAGCTATAAAAGTACATAGATAAAGAATTTCCAGAAGTTCAGGCAGGATTAGAAGAGACCATGGCACAAGGGACATCACTGCTCATGTCATACGGATCCTTGCTGAAAGTAAGAATACCAGAAGAATGTCTACTTCTGACTTATTAACCATATAAAGGCATTTGATTGTGTGGATCATAACAAGTTATGGCTAATATTAAGAAGAATGGGAATCCCAGAGTACTTAATTGTGCTCATGTGAAACTTAGACCTAGACAAGGAGGTTGTTGTGCAAACAGAGCAAGGGAACACTAGATGATTTAAAATTCAGAAATCTCTATGTACCTCTTTAATCTGTAGGTTGAGCAAATTATTCGAGATGCTAGATTCTATCAAGAGGAATATGGCATCAAGATCAGAGGAAGACTCAACAATAACCTGTGTTAGGCAGAAGACACAACTTTGCTTGCTGAAAATGTAGAGGACCTGAGCACTTGTTGCAGTTTCAAGCACTATGACCTTCAGTATGGATTGCATCTCAACATTAAGAAAATGAAAATTTTACAACTGGATTGATATCATGGTAGAGAAAATATCGAAACTGTCAGCATCTTCATCCAGCTTGGATCCACTATTAACACCCATGTTACTAGCAGTCAGAAAATCAGGAGACACATGGCACTGGGAAAATCTGCAGTGGAGACCTCTCCAAATTATTGAGGAGTAATGATGTCAGTTTAAGGAATAAGGTGAATTTCATTTAGGCCATGGTCTTTCCAATCACTTGCTGTGCATCTGAGAGCTGGACAGTGAATAAAGATGGCAGAAGAACTCAAAGATGCCTTTGAGTTCTGATGTTGGAGAAGAGCACTGAATATCTCATGGAATGCCAAAAGAATAGGCTTTGGAGAAGGTGCAGCCAGAATGTTCTTGGGAGGCAAAGATAATAAAGCTTTGCCAAATATACTTTGGGCATGTTGCTAGAGGGGTTTATTCCATGGAGAGGGACATGATATTCAAAAAGGGAGAGGGTCGACGAGGAAGATCCTCATCCAGGAGGATTGACTTGGTGACTGCTTCAATGGGCTCTAACGTGTCAGGAAGTGGGAGGATAGCAGAGGGTTCAGCTCTATTCGTAATGTCACTAATGGGTCATAAGCAACCTGATGGCATCTAACAACTATATTTTAAAAGGACAGTCCAAATCAGTTTTTTTTTTCCTTGACCCATGCTAATGTGTGTTTATATGATTACAAACATCTTGCTTTCAAAAGTGAAACAGTTCATGAGAATAGAGTAGATAACTGATTTCTTACATGTTCTTCACTTATTCAAATCTCTCTAATACCAACATCTTTCATTGAAAAGTAACTCTCCAATCCCGAAGTGTAATTTCTACCTCAAACTAGAACTTTTAACTTAGAAAGACTTTTCTCAGTTCTCAATTTTCAGTTTTGGGATGAGAAGCAGCACTTAATTGAGCCAAAGGCACCCATGGGATAGAGTAAACATTTCTTTCCTCTTTAGATCCTGCTGTGATGCAAGCTGCTTGTTAATTCTGGGGCCAGTTTCCTTGAGCAAAGTGCTAGGGAAGCTGAGTCAGAGGATTCCTGAGACTACCCCTTCCCATTGCTTTCTAGGCAGAGTTCTAGCTGGTCATTGTAGACTATTTGATAACTAAATTTTATAGTGTCCACAGGATGTCATATGCAGAATTCATTTAAAGATTACAAACATTTTAAAGGTTCTCAAATGGAATTGAGTAGGCATCTGAAATTGAGCCAATGGCCTGAAACTCATGGAAATGTGCTTGCTTTTTTCCCCACTTAGTTTACCTTCACCCAATGTCATTTAAAAATTAGTTTGCGTACAATAATTAATTTACATTGTGTCTCAATCATTCATATACATTTTTATATAATTAATTACTATTGATCTAGACCACCAGAGCTCCCTATGCCTATTATTACTCCATCTTTTTGTGTCGCCACTGAATCTTTTGTATTCCTTCACCCCTACATCCATCCACTTAACTCTGCTATTCTACTGATTTCCACCCTTACCCTTTTTTTGCTTCCATCCCTTTTTGGACATTTACACACATCTAGCTAGATACCCTTCTATTTCTTTATAAGGCTGAGTTAGTTCATGGCATAATGCTGTCTAGACTTTGCCGTGTTATATAACATTTTACAGAACTGTTCTTAAGAGTGCTGCATGTGAATGTACCACAATTTCTCACTCCATGCATTTGTTGATGAACATTTGAGCTGTTTCCATTTTATTGTTACTGTAAATAATGCTTCTGTGAGCACAGGTGTATTCCATTCTTGTTTGCTTTCATATCTGTAACATGTATTCCTAGCAGTTGAATAGCTGGGTCACATAGAATTTCTAAGTCCTGCTTTTTGAGGAAACATCAAACTACCCTCCAGTCTCATTATACCATTTTATAATCCCACAAGCAGTGCATGAGCATTCCAGTCTCTCCATGTCCTCCCCAACATTTATTGTTTGCTGTCCTATTAAACTTTGCTACTGGGATGAGATGGTAACTCATCATTGTTTTGATTTGCATCTCTCTCACTGCCCCTGATTTTGTGCATTTCTTACTGTGCCTACTTGCCATATTAATGTCTTCTTTTGTGAAAAGTATTTTCATGTATTATGTCCACTTTTTTACTGGATTATATCAGTATTTTTCTTGTGGATGCCTTGTAGGATTCTGTAAAC